TTAACAATACACACCAAACTGGGTGTGTGCAGAGTGTCTCCACACGATATGTCTTATCAGGAGAAAAGGGGGATAGTGGAAGAAGGGGATGATCAGAGAAGACAGAATCAAACAGCCTTTTTACACAATGCAGAGGATTAACCCCTTAGGTTCCACAGTTAGTATATCAAGCATGCTTTACTGCATATACAGGCTGATTTTACTGTTGTGGGTTTAGTAAAAGCAGTATTAAACCCAAAAGCAAACATTTATTAAATTGGAGCTTACAAATTCTTAGATACGAAGGCTGCCTTAGTTTTCTTTTTTAGGCTTTCTTTCTTCTATTTTCATCTTGTGAATTCACCAGTAAGTCTGTTGTTTTTCAAAAGAACAAGCTCTCTTGCAGATATATCAGTTACAGGGATGAGACAAATCATTTACAACTGACAGGGCTGCCTACAATAATTAGCATTTATTTATGTAAAACCTTTATCCCAAAAGAAAGAAAATGGTTGCTGTAACTGCTTATAAAGGTGTCCGTTTATGACACAGAGAATAGCTGCGATTCAACGGATCTCAGCTATTCTCTGGTCATTCACAGTTTATGACACTCAGGAGATCATGTCAGCCCTTCACTGGAGATCTGTGTTCTCCCTCCAGATTCTCCAGCCCAGAGCTGGAGAAATCGGAGGAACCGCAAACTAAGCAGAGATAATTTACCTCTGTTTAGTAAACTGATCTTTTACTGTAATCTCACGAGATTATAGTAAAATCAGCCGTTTTCCAGAGTTTGTAGATCGTTCTCCAGCGTTTGGAGACCGTTCTCCCTTCGTTCGGAGAACTGCTTCATAAAAGGCATTCACAGGAGAACTGTGTTCTCCGAGAATGCCGAGAGAACTGAGCAGCGATCTATTACCGCTGGTTCATAAACGGACACCATAGTGTGAGCTGGAGTTTGGCTTCAATTTGTTAGTATATCCAAAGCTGCTAGCCCATCTAACACTCCCCTTCCCCCAGATTGACAATGCTGCTGTCCAAAGGTGCCCCCTGTGCTCCTTCATCCAGAGTGGGGGCACTCTAATACAGGAGGTGTGTTAATGGCCAGATCACCAGGTGAAAACAGTGGGAAAAAAGCCTAAAATAAAGAAAACTAAGGCAGCCACCACCACATTTAATGCAATATATTACATTTTGGGTTAAATACCGCTTTAAAATTGATGCCTCTGTTTTATCTTTTTTTTGAATTTCCCACAATTTTATTCATGCTTTTTTCTACATAAAGATGCTGACCAAGATGCTCAATAACAGTGACAGCGACGAGGGTTGAGGCAAATTTTAACAAGACCAGAGGTGCTTACAATGGTCACTTTTTAGTTCCATGGGTTTAAAACTGTTCCTAAAACCTCTAAAGCACCCCTGACAGTGTCCATGTTAGTGCCAACCCAGTCACTGACACTTTTATTGGACAGCTTGGCCTACATATAATATGAAATACAAGAGAATACAAATAAATGTCTTCAACATGAAAAGAAGGAGTTTTGTGTTTAATGCACTTTGTACATATTGTTAATAATAAACAGTCACATGGATAATGATGCGAAGAGAAATAACTGCGGTAATATACAGTAATTGATCAGATATATCTTTTGATAGTTCGAATGCTGGGAACCTATAAAAGCAAATCTGTGATTGGTTGTGTGACTGGTAGCTGCATACAATGAAACCACAGATCAATTATTAAAGGCTATTTTCAAATAGGAGGTGGAAATATTCAGGGGAAACTAATGCTATGCAGAAAAGACTGCAACTGTGTCTGAAGTCAAAAAGTCCACTCACTTTACCATAAGCAGTGTACTTAGAATTCCAGTGCTGCAAGATTTTCACAAATTTCCTGACTTGTGGGATGGGTGTCTGCTATCCTGTGTTTCCCTAATCTATCCAATCTCATCCTCCACTCTCCTATGATATCCTTGTCTACCATACCTTTCTCTATCATACATACTAGGGGGGTACAACTGGGGGAATCAATGGTGGAGAAGGATCTGGGGAGTTCTGGTAGATCACAAACTTAATAATGGCATGCAATGCCAAGCTGCGGTTTCTAAAGTGAGCAAAATCCTCTCTTGTATTATAAAAGGTATAGACTCCTGAGAGAGAGAGATATCATATTACCCCTGTACAAATCATTAGTAAGACCTCATCTGGAATATGCAGTTCAGTTTTGGGCACCAATTCACAAAAAGAACATTGGGGAACTGGAGAAAGTACAGAGCAGGGCAACCAAACTGATAAGAGGCATGGAGGAGATCAGCTATGGGGAAAGATTAGAGGAGCTGAATTTATTCTCTCCTGAGAAGAGGAGATTAAGGGGGGATATGATCAACATGTATAATACATAAGGGGGGATATGATCAACATGTATAATACATCAGTGGTTCATATAGTGAACTCGGTGTAGAGTTATTCACCCTGAGGTCATCACAGAGGACAAGGGGACACTCTTTACATCTGGAGGAAAAGCAATTTAATCTCCAAATACGGAAAAGTTTCTTCACAGTAAAAGCTGTGAAAATGTGGAATAGACTCCCTCAAGAGTTGGTTCTGGCCAGCTCAGTGGATTGATTTAAAAAAGTCTGGATTCTTTCTATGATACACAGAATATAACTGGATACTAACATTTATAGGTAAAGTTGATCCAGGGAATATCCGATTGCCTCTCGGGGGATCAGGAAGGAATTTTTTTCCCAGCAGGAGCAAATTGGATCATGCTTTGCTGGTTTTTTTTTTGCCTTCCTCTGGATCAACTGTGGGTGCAGGATTATAACTATTTTTTTTTTTTATGGTTGAACTGGATGGACCTTTGTCTTTTTTCAGCCAGACCAACTATGTAACTATATAACTGTGCTATCCTACCATACCCTGTGATATCTTACTATTTTCCTACCCTGTCCTGTGATATCTCCATCAATGTTCTTATATCCTTCCAGATCCTATTCTACCTTAGCCTATCCTATTCTATCCTACCTTATCCTAAACCATTCTGGCCAATTCTATCTTATCTTACTCTATCATAGGCTATCTTAGCTTATGCTATCTGATCGTACGCTATGCTATTCTATCTTATCTCCAACCAGGGGTGGACTGACCATTTGGAAACTCGGGCACTGCCCGAGGGCCCGGGGTCAGTAGGGGACCCCATGAGATGCCCCTGGTACCTTTTTCATAGGCTTTTTTGAGTTTGGGCAAGGACACAGGGACCCCATGATCCCCTATTGCTCGGGGGCCCCATGAGTTGTCAGTCCGCCCCTGTCTCCAACCCTACCCTATTCCATGCTATCCTAGCTGATCTTGTTTTATACTACCCTATTCTAGCTGACCGTATCTTATCCTACCTTCCCTATGCTATCCTAGCCAATCTGAACCTATTCTATACTATTCCAGCCTGATTTCACAGACCTCCTCACTTGTGGAATGAATATTTGTTATCCTGTGTTGCTCTAGCCTATCTCATTTAATCCTACTCTCTCCTATAGCATTCTTGTCTATCATACCCTATGCTATACTACCCTACTGTATCCTCACTTATCCTATGATATCCTAGTCTGTATTACCGTACTCCATGCTATTCTGCCCTATCCGTATGATATCTATGATAGCTTTGCCAATGCTTTCTTATCCTTTCATATCCTATTCTATCTTAATATTCATCTATTTTATCCTATCTTGTGCTGTACTATCCAATTCTAGCCAATTGTATCTTAACTTACTCTATCCTAGGCTATGCTAGCTTATGCTATCTGATCCTACATTGTCTAATGCTTCTGTTTTCTGTTATGTTCTATTCTATTCTAGCTTGTCTTCAAACCCTACCCTATTCCATGCTATTCTAGCCGATCCTAGTTTATCCTACCTTATTCTAGCCAAATCATATCTTATCCTCCCTCTCCTTTGCTATCATAGCCAATTATATCTTATCCTACTCGATGCCTACCCAATGCAAGCCAGATTTGACAGACCTCCTCACTAGTAGGATGAGTGTCTGCTATACTATGTTGCCCTAGTCTGTTCTATCTTATCCTACTCTATCCTATGATATCCCAGTTTATCCTAACCCATGCTATCTACTACAATATCCTATGGTATCCTAGTTTATCCTACACTATCCTATGCAATACTTCCCTATCCTATTGCTTTCCTATTACATGATATCATGAACAATGCTCTCTTGTCCTTACCTATTTTATGCTATCCTACTCTATCTTATCCTTCCCTATCATATGCAGTTCTATACTATCATATATTATCCTACCTTATTCTATACAATCCTAGCCTAAGCTCTCTAACTTCTCCTTCTGCTTGCTTTGCTACCCATCAGATTCAGACATCTAAGGCAGTTTTGAATATAATTGGTAGCATTGAGCAACACATTTTTTCTGACACAAGCGTTCTTTAATATTTTTGCCAATGCTTTCTTATCCTTCCATATCCTATTCAATCTTATTATTCTCTTATTTTATTCTACCTAATGCTATACTTTGCAGTTCTAGCCAATTCTATATTTATCTCTCCTAGCTATCCTAGCTGATACTATCTGATTCTATTCTATCTTATCTCCAATCCTACCCTATTCCATGCTATCCTACCATATTCTAGCTGACCCTATTTTGTTCTACCTCTCCTATGCTATTCTAGCCAACCCTTTCTTACCCTACACTATGCCTAACCTATGCCAGCCAGATTTCACAGACTTCCTCATGGGTGTCTGCTATACTATGTTGCCCTAGTCTGTCCTATCTTATTCTACCCTATTCTATGCTATCTAAGTTTATCCTACCTTATCCTATGATATACTACCCTTCCTATTATATGCTAGTTTATTCTACCCTATCCTATGATATCCTAGCTTATCCTGCCCTATCCTATACTACCCAATCCTATGATATCTTAGTTTATCCTACTCTATCCTATTCTTTCCCTATCATATGATATCCTAGTCTATCCCAGGGGCGGACTGACAACTCATGGGGCCCCTGGGCAATAGGGGATCATGGGACCCCTGTGTCCTTGCCCAAACTCAATCCTATGAAAAAGGTACCAGGGGCATCTCATGGGGCCCCCTACTGGCCCCGGGCCCTCGGGTGGTGCCCGAGTTTCCAAATGGTCAGTCTGCCCCTGGTCTATCCTATATGTCCCCATTTTATGTTATTCTACTCCATTTTATCTTTCCCTATCATATGCGATTCTAAACTATCTTATCTTATCTTACCCTATTCTATACAATTCAAGCCTGTTTTCTTCAACTTTCTGCTTGCTCTGCTACCCATCAGATTCAGACTTTTAAGACAATTTTGAATATAATTGGTAGCAGGGAACAACCAATTTGCTCTAGCACAAGCTTTCTGTATGAAATAAGCAGAACCTTACTATGGGTATGATAAGGAATGCCTCTTCTACATTTCAAATAGGTAAGTAAAAGGGGTTCCCAGATCACCAGATAAACAATCAAAGCAGTAATGTGGACTAGTGCACTATAATTACAGTATGCCTGGACCAAAAGAAACATAATGCATTTGTGGGATTGATTTTATAGATTTATAACCAGCCATGCTGCTGACATGGAGAATACCAAATGGTAGCAAAGGGCAACCACTGGGTTCCATGGCTGCAGATAACATTGACAAATGGTTCTCTGGGGTGTAATATATTTTTTTATTACTATGCCATTTGATTACCAACATATTATATTATTAAAATGTGGTAGGTCCTGCACTTGTGTGTTTTTTTAAAACAATGTTACCTGCCAGGATTTCCCTTTAATTATACCTAGATGTGTTTAATTATGGTGTATTGACTTTACCTTCGTCCATATCCCAGACTACCGGCAGGAGACTGCAAAGAGAAACGTGGCCATTAAAACTAAATATCATAATGTTTATTTTACAATTTTTGTATTATTTTTGCTTACTTTAGACACCGCTAGTAATAGCCGGCGTATGTTGAGCTGAGACTTCAACTCCCTCAACTAATTTTATCAACTCGAAAACAACAACATTATTGACTCTGCTATTATATAATGGTGACTCCTATTTGTATTGATTTTCTCAGTGGCTTTGAATAAGGTTAAAATGGGCAACGAGAATCAAAGGGGCCAGAAGCTTTGCAATCCTGGCATCTACATGTTCATAGCATTGTATACAAGAACAAAAGCAGCGAAGGAAGCAAATTAATATCTAAGATGTTTGAACAAATGTGACAATGTTAGGATACAAAAAAGTAACATAGAGAGGAAATCATTCTTTTACCAAATTAATGTGATCTTACAGCCCAATTCTGATGGGAAGATCACAGGGAGATACACTATACTGCCAAAAGTATTGGGCCAGCCCTCCAAATCATTGGATTCAGGTGTTCCAATCACCTCCATGGCCACAAGTGTATAAAATCATGCAGACTGCTTCTACAAACATTTGTGAAAGAATGGGTCACTCTCAGGAGCTCAGTGAATTCAAGCGTACCGTTGTCACCTGTGCAATAAGTCCATCCGTGACATTTCCTTGCTACTAAATATTCCATGGTCAGGTGTTAGTGGTATTATAACAAAATGGAAGCAACTGGGAACAACAGCAACTCAGCCACCAAGTGGCAGGCCATGTAAAATGACAGAGCGGGGTCAGTGCATGCTGAAGTGTGCATAAGTTGCAAGCTGTCTGCAGAGTCAATAGCTAAAGACCTTCTGACTTCATGTGGCCTTCAGATTAGCACAACAATAGTGTGTAGAGAGCTTCATGGAATGGGTTTCCATGCCGAGCAGCTGCATCCTGCATCCAAGTGCAATGCAAAGCGTTGGATTCAGTGGTGTAAAGTACGCCGCCACTGGACTCTAGATCAGTGAAGACGTGTTCTCTGGTGTGACTAATCATGCTTCTCTGTCTGGCAATCCGATGGATGTGTCTGGGTTTGGTGGTTGCCAGGAGAACGGTACTTGCTTGACTGCATTGTGCCAAGTGTAAAGTTTGGTGGAGGGGGATTATGGTGTGGGGTTGTTTTTCAGGGGTTGGTCTTGGCCCCTTAGTTCCAGTGAAGGGAACTCTTAAGGGGTCAGCATAACAAGACATTTTGGACAATTTCATGCTCCCAACTTTGTGGGAACAGTTTGGGGATGGCCCCTTCATGTTCCAACATGACTTTGCCACCAGTGCACAAAGCAAGGTCCATAAAGACATGGATGAGCGAGTTTGGGGGGGGAGGAACTTGGTGAGTCCTGACCTCAACAATGGAACACCTTTGGGATGAATTAGAGCAGAGAATGCGAGCCATGCCTCCTCATCCGACATCAGTTGCTGACCTCTGGAAGAATGGTCAAACCTTCCCATAGACACACTCCTAAACCTTGTGGACAGCCTTCCCAGAAGAGTTGAAGCGGTTATAGCTGCAAGGGTGGGCCAACTCAATATTGAATCCTACGGACTAAGACTGGGGTGCCATTAAAGTTCACGTGTGTAAAGGTAGGCGTCCCAATACTTTTGGCAATGTAGTTTATATGTAATGTGATTCAGTTTACAAGCAGCCATGCATTTGTCATTCAGCTGTCAGTTTTATGATCCAGAAGCCCTGCCAGACAGCCCAGCCAGATCCGCAAACTCCATTGCAGCAGCACAGCTTGGTTAAAACACACCCCCAGCCAGTGATTGGACAATGAAAGTGCAGCAGCACACTCTCCTCCTATCAGCTGCACTGTCCTTACGCGTGCACAGCAACACCTGATTCCTATTGCAGATCCTTCCTTTGCTTTATAGACAGGGCCGGTGATACCACTAAGTGAACTAGGCAGCAGCCTAGGGCGCACTGCCACCTAGGGCACAGCCGTTGGTTTCCTTGGTCTCCTGCTTGCTGAGAATTGTATCACATAGAGTGCTTTTTTACCGCTGGTTTTATGTTAACTTTGCTTTTTCTACTTTACTTAATTGAATTGTTGCAAAAAATTTCATGCTGGTATCTGTAGTCCTCCAAGCTGCTGCTGTGCCCACAAGTAGTGGGATACAGCAGTGTGCTTCCAGGCCTCTAGAAGGAGCAGAGTGCTCCGAGCTTTTAGTCTGTCCTCCAAGGCACCAGACCTTCCCCTTGTAACGTCACTTCCACCTCGTTTGCGTTCCAAGCTGGCCCAGGCACTTACTGTTGCCCGGAAGCATCCTGGCATCTCTCCATCCATGACTCCAGATCCACACTGGCTGATTCATAGGACGGGAAGGACCGCCGGTGATAATTATCGATGATAAGGGACATTTTAATTCTTTCCTGTGAGTGTTTAACACTGCTTGCTTATTAAATTGGTCTTTTAATACAACTTAGTGGTGCCTCCCCCAATATTTTTCTTGTCTCCTACATACAGAACTGGCATACTCTGATGATGGCTGCGCTGATATTGCTGGTTTTTAATAGACATGGAAAAAATTTGTTTTTTTTTTTTTTTTTTGTGAGGTGGGGAGGTGGTGCAAGTAGTTGGTCTTGCCTACAGCACGAATCTTGCACTGGCCCGGTGTATAGGGCACCACCCACAGTGCTTCCTGGACTCTCCCATTCCCCTATGGGGTCTGGGACTGCGGTAATTTGCCAGGATCATTGAACACGGAGGAGATGGAGGCACATCCATTCTTTAATCTCCCCTGTGACTAATGAACTCAGAACCATCGATGATTTCATCACTTCCGGTTTTAGAGCTGTCCTAACACACTGAGAAGCAGCTAATCAAGCAAGATCTGTGCTTTATTAGCTGCAATGGAGGGCAAGGTGAGACGTGGAGTTCTAATAAACATATGTCTCTATAAAGAGGATGTGTCACATGCCCAAAGCTATCACATGGGGGCTTGTTAGCCCCTTTGAGATAGCAATAAAGTTAAATGAAAAAAAAAAAAAACATTTTCTAAAAAGCTGTAAAAATAAATTTTAATAAATAAATTAAAATAAAAAAAAATAAAAATTTAAAAGAATTCCCCTGTGCATGCAGGCAAATGCAAAAAAGTGCGTAGCTCCCCCATGCGTATGTAAACAGTGATTGCACCACACATGTGAGGTATCACCACAAACGTCAGAGTGACAGTAATTATTTTCAGGGCCATCATTCATGATTAGCTCTACACTGATAACCTGGAAAGTCTTTTAAAGTGTCATCAAAAATCTTACATGTTTGGTATCTACCAGGGGCCTATGAAAGGTACCAGGGGCATCTCATGGGGCCCCCTACTGACCCCAGGCCTTCGGGCAGTGCCCGAGTTTCCTAATGGTCAGTCCGCCCCTGCTATCTACTGTATTTACTAAATGCAACATCATCTGTTATATTTTGAAAAAAAACTGGGCATCATACTGTGTTTGTATACATTAAAATTTATATTAGTGTATGTATTCCTGAAAATTTGAATTTGATAAATGGCTGAGCAAATATGTGCGACATACCACCAACAGCCACCATTTTATTCTCCAGGACCTCTGGAGATAATTCATGTCTAGGGGTTCTAAGTCATTTTCTAGCAAAAAATGCTGATTTTACCATGTACTGTATATGAAAAAGCTGAAATTGACCTGGACAGCAAGTAGTTAAAGGTGACCATACACTGTATACAATCGTATTGTACGATCTCATGTAGGTCTACCATCAGCTATGATGCTTGATTCAGTACTATAAAAATTGATTGTTTAGGCTTGTCATTACATTACATAGTGTTTGTAAGTATAAAGGGGATGATACAGGGATTGTACAATCAGATTGTATAGTGTACGGTCCGCTTTAGTGATTTCAAAGCTGCTCATTTTGTTAAGCTGAACTCCAGGAAGAAAAATGCACAAATGAAAGGAGTTGTGCAATCATTAATACATCATATAAGCCTGATTTACTGTGCAACTTCTTCCTGTGAGCCCAGGCTGTCAATGATACTAGACATGTGCAATTTGTTTCCTTACAAATCAAAATTCATACGAAATCTCCATTGTTTGGATGTATCCGAATTTCCGAATCACAGTAGTAACCAATTTCAATGAATCCGAAATAAATTAAAATGGAACACATTTTTTTAAATTTCAAAATCAATTTTAATTCAAAAATGAATTTGAATTCAAAATGGAAACATATTGCAATAAATACAGTAAGGTATAAAAGTGAAATAAATTGATGATTCCTACTTAAGCTGCTTTATAGAATAGAATAAAACAGAATAGAATAGAATAGGAAGGAATAGAAAAAATAATAATAAAATAGAATAGAAAATAATAAAGTAGAATATAATTAAATAGAACAGAATGGCATACAATATAATAAAATAGGAAATAATAGAACAGAATAAAACAGAATAGAATAGTAAATAAATGAATAGAATAGTAAATAAATGAATAGAATAGAAATGAATAAAATAGAATAGCAAATAATAAAACAGAATAGAACAGCAAATAAAAAAATAGAATAGAAAAGAATAAAACAGAATAGAACAGAAACAAAAAAGAATAGAATCAAAAATAAAATAATAAAATACTGTAGATTAATGTAGACTAGCATAGAAAAGAATAGAATACAAAAAAAATAGAATAGAACAGCAAATAAAAGAGTAGAAAAGAATAAAACAGAATAGAACAAAAAACAAAAAATAAAAGAATAGAATCGAAAATAAAATAATAGAATACTGTAGATTAATGTGGACTAGCGTAGAAAAGAATAGAATAAAAAAATAGAATAGAACAGCAAATAAAATAATAGAAAAGAATAAAACAGAATAGAAACATAAATAAAAAATAAAAGAATAGAATCGAAAGTAAAATAATAGAATACTGTAGATTAAAGTGGACTAGAATAGAAAAGAATAGAATACAAAAAAATAGGCTAGATTAGATTAAAATATAACGAATATAGGAGTCTTCCAAAATTCGAATTCTGAAATGATTTGAAAATAACCAATATACTTTTGAATTTCAAATTAATTTGTACATAACGAATATACAAAACAATTCCAAATAAACGAATTCCAAAAAAACAAATCATTCTAACATAATGAATATGAGGAAATTAAATTAGTACCTTAAACAACGAATCTGAAACGAAAGACATGCACTGTGCACATCTCTACATGACATGCTCCTTGGGGGCGGGTCATTATGTAATCTGGCTCACTGAGCACTGCTGGATGGAACAGTGCATAGACATTCCAATGTTAGCACTGCTCTATGACAAAATGTGGTGGTGGGGCTTAAATATCCTTTGTATGACTAGACAGAGGTTATTCAGGACATTGTATTAGGTGTTTTTATAAAAATAAAAAAAAATTGCATAACTGTTTGTACATGGAATCTACATGTAATTAGTTCTGTGCAAAAGGGCTAAAATCAAATGTTCTCAGGCTATATTCCCAGCATTCGAATGTGTGAATGGACAATACTGCATTACAGCCATTAGATGGTGCTATCATAGGAAATAAGTATTCTCCTCAGCGCCATCTAATGGCCATAATGTGGTATATTCCTCATTCCCACATTCGAATTGCAGAGAATATAGCCTGAGAACATTCGGCTTTCCTCCTTTCGCACAGAATGAATTCACATGCAGTTTTGATGGACGAGCAGCTATGTGACTTTTATATAAATACACCCCTAAGCATCTAAAACTAACGTCACCAAGCGCTGGAGTTTTTACGCCCGTCTTTCTTTTAAATGGTAATAATCCTGTTTTCTTTATTCTGAGAATGTTTCTTTTTTTGTTGGCAGCTAAATATGGAACATTTATTTTTCTGATTCTAGCTGACAGTGTGAGACCGCTGGTGACGTCTTAGTGGCTCTCGTAGCTGAAGTCCCCGGAGGCGTCTCCTAGTGCATTTTAACTTGAACTTTTGGTCACCTGATACATGACCTTCAACCTGGCGGGTTCCTTTCCGAAAAGGGCCGTCATCGGGGGATTTCAGGATTGTGGCATGAAGACAGCTACTTTTAGAAGTGGATTACAGCAATACTTTATGTCCATATATTTTCCCCCACACTTTCTCTAAAATATTTAACCTTGTGCGGCAGAGGTGACGAATGGATGATATTACATTTTTGTATGGAATCAAAGCCAGAACTCTGCAGAAACACTGTATACAGGCCATTACAAATACAACATGCAATTCTGCTGCATTCTATAAAATTAGATGCAGGTTAAAGGGGAACTCTTACCTGCGACTGGAATATTTCCAAAGTGCCTGGAAAGAATGATTCTGTGTATATTGGCATTATTATTATATTCAGTGCTGGGACAAAGTCGCCCAGCATCCAGGGCAAGGATGCGGAACTGCACACCCATTGCTAATGCATGACATCCATGGGCATATTGTCCTGTGTGTTTTTATGCACCCCTCTCCCCCCCCCCCCCATTTTCCCATTGTTCCCACTGTTTTTTGTAATGGCTGTGGGAGTTTGGGGTAAGGGATTTGGAGAGTGGGGGGAGAGTGACAACGGTAGTTGCCAAAACAAACAGAAAGACAGGGCCTGGTAGAAGTGAGGTTGCAGTCTGCTAGTTGCCCTGCAGCCATGTCACTGTATATTATTATTATTATTATACAGTATTTATATAGCACCAAAGGGTTTGCTCAGCGCTGTACAATAGCAAGGGGGACAGAACATGAGACAAGACAGAAACAATACAATACACGAGGGGTTCGAGGGCCCTGCTCTTTCGAGCTTACAATCTAGGAGGGAGGGGATAGTGGTACAGGAGGAAGTGGCTGTAGGGGATGGAGTGGTAGGAGGAGTGGAGGAGGTTAGTTGTTAGGTGAGGGTGGGGTAGGCTTCCCTGAAGAGGTGATGAGGGTAGGTGACAGTCTGATGGATTGGGGTAGGGAATTCCAGAGGATGGGGGAAGTCCTGGAGAAATCCTGCAATCGGGCATGGGAGGAGGAGACCAGGGAGCTAGAGAGTAGGAGGTCCTGTGAGGAGCGGAGGGCACGGGTAGGGTGGTATTTGGGTATCAAGTCGGTTATGTAGTTTGGGGTGGCATTGTGAATGGCTTTGTAGGTCAGGGTTAGCAATTTGAATTTGATGCGCTGGGCAATCGGGAGCCAGTGAAGGGATTGGCAGAGGGGGGTGGTAGATGTGGAGCGGTTGGTGAGGTGGATGAGTCTAGCCGCTGAGTTTAGGGTCGACTGGAGTGGGGATAGCGTTCGTTTGGGTAGGCCGGTGGGAAGGGAATTGCAATAATCCAGGCGTGAGATGATGAGGGAGTGTACGAGTTGTTTGGTGGTGTCTGGGGTGAGGAACGTACGTATCTTGGAGATGTTGCGGAGGTGGAGCCTGCATGATCTTGATAGCAATTGGACGTGGGGTAGGAAGGAGATGTGTGAGTCCAGGGTGACACCCAGGACTTTGGCATGTGGGGTGGGAGTGATGATGGTGTTGTTAGTAATGATGGAGAGGATGGGGGGGGGGAGACCAGGAGCTCAGTTTTGGACAGGTTTAATTTGAGGAAATGGAGCGACATCCAGTCTGATATGTTGTTCAGGAGATGGGCGATGCGAGCGGAGAGTGAGGGGGTGAGGTGGGGGGTGGAGAGGTAAATTTGTGTGTCGTCGGCATAGAGGTGGTAATTGAAGCCGTGGGATTGTATTAGTTTGCCAAGGGAGGAGGTGTAGATGGAGAAGAGGAGGAGGGGTCCGAGGACAGAGCCTTGGGGGACTCCGACAGAGAGGGGGGGGAGGGGGAGGTGGCAGTGTTTTAGGTGACACTGAAGGAGCGTTGGGAAAGGTAGGAGGAGAACCAGGAGAGAGCAGCGTCCCTGATGCCAAGGGAGTGCAGTTTAGTAAGGAGGAGAGGGTGGTCGACTGTGTCATAGGCCGCGGAGAGGTCCAGGAGCAGGAGGACAGAATAGTGGCCATTAGCTTTGGCGGTTAGTAGGTCGTTGGTGATTTTAAGTCTGAGGGGGGGTTCGGTGGAGTGCAGGGGACGGAAGCCAGACTGTAGAGGGTCAAGGAGGTTGTTACCAGTGAGGTGGGCGCTTAGGCGATTCTAGGCCAGGCGCTCAAGGAGCTTGGAAGTGAATGGCAGCAGGGAGATGGGTCTAAGGTTGTTAAGGTCAGTGAGGTCAAGGGAGGGTTTTTTGAGTATGGGGGTGATGTGCACGTGCTTTAGAGGGGAGGGGAAAGTGCCAGAGGAGAGGGAGAGATTGAAGATGTGGGTGAGGGAGCGAATGATGGAGGGGGGAGGGGTGTGTGACTGGAGGAGCTGTGAGGGGTTAGGGTCCAGGGGGCAGGTGGTGAGGCGGGCTTCAGTGAAGACCTTAGAGACCTCCTCAGGGATAGTTGGGCTGAAGGAGCAGAGTGTTGGGGAGGTGATAGTGTGCGGGGGGGGTTAGGCATAGCGGGGGGTAGTGCGGCTGTG